AAATTAACCTTTTAATAATTTACTTGACTCATCAAACTCACCTTCTTACTTAGTCACAATGCAATTTCCTGGGTTCAAACTCAAGTATTACAACTTCCTTTATCTCATAAATCAATCATCGATGTACCCATTCTTAAACTCTTACAAAACAATATCTATATTACTTGATCCATGTAAAATACTCCTTATACTTCACTTTGCATAATTTCTAATAGAACTTTTAATCTAATCCATTACTTTCATTTCTAAACTGAACTTCATATACATTCTTAAATCCTTATTTAATCTTCCACTACCAGACCCTACTACTTAAGCTTGCCTGACTTTCATCAGATTTGATCCTTTGACATGGAATACAACTAATTCCATTAAATTATCAAACTGCACTCTTATCCTTACACGTTACGATTCCCCTGTTTCAAATTCATAAACTCTGACTTCATACATCTGATAAACTTGTCACTGAATACTTATTCTCCAACTTTTCTAAAATAATAACCACATTATTTATTCCTTTAACGTTCTTATGGCGGCACTTATCCAACATAGTCTATCTTATCCACAAAATAACAAAACTACTTCATATAACGTTTCCGATTCAAAACATTAAAGACCATCTAACACTATTCTAACGTGTTTTCAACTTTCCAAAAACAACATTCGATCTTATAAGGCACTTCATGAGGTGTCTGCTCTTCATTTTGCCTGGTCAAGGCAGGTGAATTGCTATCATAATCAGGAATATCGCCTCACTTCACTTTAAAGTTATCAAAATCATACTTATATTATAACTTATCAATCTAATTCTATTAGCAAGACATCACACTCCTTACACTATCAGATCAGAAATTTTCACTTTATGTTGGCATGTACACATTTTAAAATTCATTTAACTTCGGTTTAAGCCTAGAATCGGCTAAACCTTAGCTCTGATACCATTAAATGTAACACTCCCAACCCGTATCCGACTTGGATACGAGTCTGAGGTGTCACATCAAATTTCAAAACCTTTTACTTGTTCCAAAATAATGAAAATTTCCCACTATAAGAAAACTTCATATTATTTCAAAATAAACGTTTACAAACTTATCAGAGCATATACAATTCAAATAATTTATTTTACATGTCAACTACAATTTCAGATACAAAATACATATTATAAAATACTTTTCTGATCTGATAATCGGGAAGGAGGTGCTAACATGTCTTGCATTGCATACCCATACTTTACTCCTCTTGCTTATCGAGATCTACGTGTGAAACACTCACACACTAAGTTGATAACTTAGTGAGGCATAAATAAACGTTTTATGTCATATCATTACTAGTCCCTACTATGCACATTCCATATGGTCCTCATAAACTATAGAATGCATTATGCATCAAAACATAAAGACATACATATACATATGATTTCATTATTCATATGATTAACAATCATATTTCTTAGTTATGAGTTCTTGTACCTAACCTTGTTAACCAAATATGTACATATCATCATATATGTTTCTGTAACATATTTCAAATATTAACTTAATACAAATATCATATAACTATTCATATGACAATTATATTCATGTACATCATATATCACATATACCACTTCACACAAAACTCAATGCATTATAATATCAAGTTTATTTATATTGTCTTTTATTTGCCCAGTTACAATACTAAGAACTAAAGGTATGTGAGTACATAGAGGTTGCGCACTATACTGTCACCACAGCTTGTATAATTCTCACTAGGGCGCGTAGAATTTGTCCCGAATAACCACTATGTCCCGAAGTACCACATATAACACATATCATATATGTCCCGAAGGACCACGTAGAACCCTCAACTCTTGGCATGCCAACTATACCCTAGCTCTCATAACACATAACATGGGCATTGTCACTTATTTCATTCACATATACACATTAATATCACATATCATGTAATACTCTCATGGAGTCTCATATCATATATTCATATGTCACATAGGCACATTCACATATACATGCAATCATGTAGTTTATTTTCATATAGTTCATATCATTTTTCATATGATCTCATATTCATGTGTGACATAGCTTATAACACTTCTCACGTGTTCATATAAACATGTATGTCTTATCTTGTTCACATATGTTCCCCATATATCTCATAATTATATTTTGTTCTCTTATGTTCATCTAGATCACATTGGTCATATCTCATTGAGTTCCTAACCTTCCTTGAGTAATCCCTTATACCGTATCATATAGCTTACCCTTGAGTTATCTTATGTTCACCTATATATATTATATAATTCTTTTAGTTTATATCCTTATTTTATCTCTTATTTCATATTCTTATATAATCACAGAGATCATTTATACTATTTCACCTGGCTTATTCCACTAACACGTGTTTACATAAATCATGTAATATACAACAACATGTCAACACATATACTCATGCACCCATATAAATCATAACACATCGCAAGTCATATTTCCATTAACACCAGATACTATTATGAACTCACCTGGACTCACTAGTTAATATCGTTCTCTTATATTTTCTTCAATGCCCAATACTTGTCGACTGATCTGGACTTGCTCTAGATTGATATCTACATAATCATACACTATACATATCAGTATTCTAAATAGCATACTCTGATTCTCATATCTTAAACTAAAGGAAGAATGTGTTTTCAATTTCCTTTAGAATATGTATATGTACCCACTATAGGGTATCGGTGCAACCCTAGCTGAGGTATCGATACAATGCATAGGTATCGATACCCAAATTACATTCGATAATTTTTCGTTTCAAGGGGGTATCGATACCATCCTTAAGGTATCGGTACCCTTTGAATGTCTTCCTTAATTTTTACTCTTGAGGTGTCGGTACCTGATGAATGGGTACCGATACCCCTTGCCTAGAAATCACATTTTCAATCCGAAAATTACTTCATTTCAGCTCAATTGCTTCATATATCATCCCGTTTCTTATTCTTAACTTACATACACATGCTTAAACTCATTAATACTCATTCAATACATCTTTAACTTCAAAATCCAATCCTATACATAGAATTTAAGAATCATACTAAAATTTCAACATGTTCAAATTGCAATTCTATCACTTGAAATCTCTTAATTCAACTATTGACAAGTCAAATTTAACCTGCGATTTAACTTATCAACTATTCTTCAAATTTTTATTTTAAAACTCTTTAACTTTAATCTCTTCTAACTATTTCATTATTTGCTTTAAAACTAACTTAAGCCTTCTTTAGGCTTAATTAGCACTTAAGAATCATAAACCCAACTTAAAATCAAGGAATAATTAACTAACAAGAGACTCACCTTATCAAGCTTGGTTCCACGTCTGGAAGAAAGAAGAATATGAAGAGAATTCTAGAACTCTTATTCTTCCATTTTCTTCACCCCACGTGTAACCCATATATAACCCTTCTCACTTAATTATCTTGATGGTCAAATGAGCATTTTGCCCTTCAATATTTTTCATATCTACTAATAAATCCTCTTAAATAAAATTCCCCATTAAGTCCTTAAACTTCTAATTTTTCATAATTTGATCACCAAATTTCAAAAACTTTCATTTTAGTCACTAACCTGATTTTTAGGATATTACAGACATGAACCACATCACTAAAATAATTACATGACACATGTCATGTCAATAATTTGACACATGTAAAAATAACACGTCAATGATATGGGTTGACAGTTAGTCAGCTAATAGTTTTCTTCCAATATGGTCTATTTTGACCATAAATTGAAACATTATGGGGTAAATGCTAAATAAAGAATATGGTGAAAAGTGATCAATGTAAATGCGTAATGTTTTCAACGTTGTCATTTTAAGTGTCTGATCTGTCATAATCGTTAAATTTTTTTATCAGTTATTCAAAACGTGACATATAGTATGTTTATAAATTTTGAAACTTTTTATTTGATTTTTATAAAATTATTATTGTTTTTTAAAACCCCAAATTTTATTAAAAATATTAAAAACCATAAAATTTCTAAACCCAAAGCATGAACTCTATTACGTGTCACCCCCATCGTCATCGTTGTTATTAATCGTCTATCCATCGGTTGTTAGATTCCAAAACTGATCATCCCCTCGCTATCACCCCTAAATCATATTTTAATCTCCATGACCAAGGAACAGGGTTTCAAATAGCAGTTCACGACCGCGATAGCACCCGTGAAATAGCGGTAGCGCTACTTTCCGATATACCTGCTACACCTAAAATAGTCGTAACAGCGCCCGCTACGGCCGCAACAGTGCTCGCTATGGCCACAATCGCAGTAAACACGAAATGAACGAAAACCCTACAGCGACATCGATTTGAAACCCAGCCATAGAATCCCCTTTCAATATCCACAACCATAGATGTTAACGATTAGAGGAACATTGATTATAACACTTTGCTGGTTCCGATTGAATTTGCAAGAGCGATGGGTGACTCTAAGGGTTAAGGATTTTAGAGATTTAAGAAGATTCAGAAGACGACAAAGGAGCGACTGATCACTGGGTGGGCAACAACGGGTGGGTGGTTACTTGACAACGATGTCAAGGGCCAACAACGGTCGGTGATAGTAATAAGGGTTTGGAATTAAGTACTTTAAGTTTTTTTTAGATTTTAGAAAATTTTGAGGTTTTTTCTAAAAATAATACTAATAATTTTGTTTTTTTTTTTAATTTAAAATTTTCAAAAAATATAAATACAATACTGTCACGTTTTTTAATGGTTGATTAAATTTTTTAACGACTATAGCAGACCAAACACTTAAAATAGTAAAATCGGAAACATTAGACACCTATCTTAATAAAAAAATGTTTAGGCACTTAAAGTGAATAAGAGTTATATTTTGAACACTTATTTTTGAATTAAGCCACGTATTAATTATCAAATTGTAATCTCTCATAATTGAGGGCTCACGAGTGTTATTTAAACCAATTCTTAAAAGACTACTTAAACGAGTTGAAAATATAGTATAGATAATGTAAAACTGACGCTATTTTGTTTTGTTTCTTTTCACCGCCTTTCTTTCCCTCCCTCGAACGGCGACGGCCACCGCGGCAATCTTGTTCCTCCCCCTAAATCCTCCTCCTTATTTCTGAGTTATTGCGTCATCAAATAGATAAAGAAGAGGACATGTTTCGATCGATTTAGGGTTTCAGCGATCTCTTTCATTTCCAGATTCTTTCTCATTGAGATTTCCCTGCTGTTCCTAGACACTGCATCCTGACCTTGTTCCCATCCATATTTGTTACTGATACAAAAGAAAAAGTGATTATGGATTTAGACGGCGGCAACAGGCGCGTCTTTAATAGACTCGGAGGTCCGTCAGCTGCCCCACCACCCAACTCCACCAAAAACCAGAGAGTTTGTTATCATTGGAGGGCCGGTAAGTGCAGCCGTTCCCCTTGCCCTTTCTTGCACCGTGAACTACCTCATTCTTCTGGCCTCACCTCCGCAGCCGCTAACGGATCGGGTGTTCCCAAACGTTTCGCCGATGATTCTGGGTTTTCGAGCCCTGCCCCACGACGAGGCCCCAACTTCAATAATAATCATAATAATAGTTGGGGGAGAATGGGAGATAATAAGGTGGTTAGGAAAACGGAGAAAGTATGCGATTATTGGGTGCAAGGGAATTGTAATTACGGAGATAGGTGCAAGTTTCTACATTCCTGGTATTTAGGGGAAGATTTTACCTTGTTGAATCACCTTGATGAGCACCAGAAAGTAAGTGTCTCTTCGTTTCTTTTATTCTTTTATGGTGTTAATTTGATATGAACTTTTGAAGAACCATCCTTCAAAAGCTAGCTATTAGGTGGGTAGAGTCTGCATTCATATGTATCTCATTATAAATAACAAGCTTCATGCGGAATCAAGTCTCGGACGTTGCAATTAAGACATAACAATTCACCATTTGCATTAGCTTAACCTTTGGAGAAGCACATCAAAAAGCTAACTGTTAGGGTGGGAGTGCCCAAGTCCATATAAATCTTACAAGAAAAACTCGATCTTTTGATGGGGAGAATCAAGTTTCTATCTTGCAATTAGGAATATAAAATATTCTTAGGAGTACCCGACTGCAATGATGATGACGATGAGTTTGTTTCGGGGGCAGGTTGTTACTGGAATTGCGTTGCCAGCTGGAATGGATAATCTCTATACGGGAAGTAAAGACGAATCTGTGAGGGCTTGGGATACCAACACTGGTCAGGTGTGATTAGTTTTGTTTCGTTTTAATAAAACATTTAAAGTTTTAATTAGTTTTTATCTTTTTGGAAAAGAAAATATAGATTTATTTTTGTCTCCGAACATGATGTATTTTAATCAATTTCAATAACAGGAATCTGCATAAAACTGTTCTGAAATTTTTAATATTTTCTGTCCTGCTTGGTAGAAGTGTCCATGTGAAAAATCTGATAACTTAAAGGCTACTATTTATGTTTCTATGGAATCACTAAAGTGCTAAATACCCAAGGGGTACCTACTACTTAATTATGTTGTGAAAGGGAAACGAGATTCTCTTGCTAGAAATTACTTTCAGTATGTTCTAGTGGTTGTTGGCAACTTTTTAATTATTATGTTTTGTCTGATATTCAATGTGGCCTTCTATGTAGTGTATGGGTGTGCTTAATCTTGGTGGTGAAGTAGGTTGCATGATCAGTGAAGGTCCTTGGCTATTTGTTGGCTTACCTAATGTTGTTAAGGTATGATTCGAGGGAAATTCTCTACCAGTTGTTTCTTCTTTGTTATTGTTGTCGTATGAAATTAGTAGAACGATGATTTCCCATTTCTGCCTCGGTGACAATCATTTTGCAGGCCTGGAACACCCAAACTAACCAAGAAATCAGTCTTAATGGACCTGTTGGGCAAGTTTATTCCATGGTTGTGGGTAATGATTTGCTCTTTGCTGGCACACAGGTAATGTTCTAAATTCTAGTATATTGTTATAGTTTCTTTTCATTTAAATTCCAGGTTCTGCATGTGGTCAGTCATGAATACATCATCATGTTTTCTGTTCTGGGTTCTGCCAAATTATTTTGCGATAACTTGTTAATCGAGGGAATTTTGTTTTGGGTGTCCGACATTTGTCTTGTTATAAAATTGCCCCTTACCTTGAAAGATCTGTAATATGTGAAATGAGCTTTTTTTAAAAGGGCACTAGATTTGACGAGTCAAATTGGGGATTTGTGTTGGACGAATCTCTCTCTGGGTCTTGATTTTGCCATACTCATAATTTAATACTATGTTTCTATTTCTCTAGCATTTCAGTCCTAATCCTCAGGTACCAGTATCTGTTTATTGCAGGAGGGTACTATTTTGGTATGGAAATTTAATGCCGCCACTAACAACTTTGAACCGGCAGCATCGCTTAAGGGTCACACCCTTGCAGTTGTATCATTAGTTGTTGGAGCTAATAGACTATACTCTGGTTCCATGGACCATTCTATAAAGGTAAAGTAGTTGAATCATCCTGATTGAAAAATATTGTAGTTTCAGACCACCATTATAGCACGCTTTGCTTTATTCCTATAATTTATTTTTTTCTCTAGTAGAAAATGATCATTTTTTCTTAATATATTAGTTGTTTCTTTCAGGCTTGGAGTCTAGAAACTTTGCAGTGTCTACAGACTCTGACAGAGCACACTGATGTTGTTATGTCCTTGCTTTGCTGGGAACAATTTCTTTTATCTTGCTCATTGGACAAAACAATAAAGGTTCCCGCTATTTTTTATTTATTTTATCTTTTGTTTTTGTTTTGCTTTTCTGCCTAAATTCCTTGGATTTATGTTTTCCTGTGCAGGTGTGGGTAGCTACTGAGAATGGAAACTTGGAAGTAACATACACTCACAATGAAGAACATGTATGTTGTTTCATTCATACATTATGCTTGCTACTTTGAATTTGATGTAATTCATAGTTAAAACGAAAGGGGTTTGAGGACAGAATGGGAGAATTAAAAAACTGCATGTCAGATAAAAAATGGTCTTTGCTTTTTTACGTTAGTTATTAGATGTGGCAGTGACAGAAGAATAGGGTATAACTGTGGGTGGGTGGGGTGGGGTGGGGGGATTATTGAAACTGAAGCCTGAAGGTAATGATTGAGGGAAGAGAATGCTACTTGGCTTTGTTTGATGTGTTAGAAAGAGAGTGTTATGCTCTGCATTTTAGTTTTGAAATTATGGGTCAAAGTTTTTGGGAGAATGGTTGCAATGGAGAAGAGGATACTCTATTTTGGATTTTGAGGCTGTGGATATTGAGTCTGCTTTTCGAGAGCTATAATCTTACATGTTTGTAATTTTAACAAACAGTTTAGGATTATGCATGATCAAACGAATATTTTCAAGTTTCATATGAAATTAAACAGTTGGGTGAAGATTGTAAGATAATTTATGAAGGATGAAATTTAATGTGTAGTCAGGTTGTTTTGGAAAGTTTCTTGGATTTATTGTGCATTGCATCTATTCTAGATATAGACATCGTCAAAGCTTAGATTTGCTTACTGTAGTGCTCCAAATATCTCTACTTTTTATCGTTTATCTGATGGTTTAATTCCCGAAAAATGTCGTGGTAAATGGTTTCAATTATGTCTTTGAGCCCTTTCTTTCCCCCTCAGTTTACTTCCTAGGATCTTGGGATGTTATTGAACTTTTGGGTGCTCTTTTTAGGGTTTGTTGAATCTTCGAGGAATGCATGACTCAGAATCCAAGCCTGTTTTGCTGTGTTCATGCAATGACAATTCTGTCCGCCTCTTTGATCTGCCCTCGTAAGTTAACAGAGACTTGCTTTTTATCTTAGCACACACATCTATCTACTCGTTTCATCATTTTGGGGTCCTTACATGGTGCTGATGGGAATAGCATATTTCTATCCTTATGATTGAAGGTTCTCGGAGAAGGGTAAAATTTTTGCCAAGCAGGAGATCCGTGCAATTGAGGTAGGCCCTGGTGGCCTATTTTTCACTGGTGATGGTACTGGTTTTAGAGTGTGGAAGTGGGCGGAACCGGTTCCCAAGCCTTGATGGTGTTCCAGCATTAAACAACATATGCATCAAATATGTATTTTTGGTGTTATTATTTTATTACTTCTCATCCTTTTGCTTTTGGGTGGGGTGTTCTTTTGTAGTTCACTGAGTTAAGAGAAAACGAGCACTAGGTTCCTGGTGTAATGTTTAGCAGCACCAAGCCCTGCACATTAGTGTGTGCCATAAGTTCATATAAAGAACACTTGATAACTCGTAAATTTGTAGCAGTCATTGAATTGGAATTTTAGATGGTGCCTTGGCTGAAACAACTCTGGGGCTTGTTACAATGATGATTTATCCTGCACCAAGGTTCATAGCAACAGATGTTCGATTATCATCTACATCCGTGATGACGATTCTAGGAGCCCCAAAAGCACTCTTTTGTAAAGCTTTCTTTCTTTTGTGGAGAATATAGTTCTCATACTTGCACTAACTGGTTGACTTCGCTCCCAAGCTTCTCTATGATTCCGGCACTCTCATGCCCAATCACCATTTGAAAAACTTATTAAAAGAAACGTGTCATGGATAATATATTTTTCGACGGTAAACATCTAGGAATTTCTATCCTTTTGAAGAATACTATACCCGAGAAATACACATTTGAGTTGATCTTGGTTCTAATTTGGATTCTGCGTATGGTTCAACCATGGATAACAAGGACAACCGAAAATTCGTGAGAAATTATAATCGGTATTGTGTTTAAATATGAGATCTATTATTAAGACTGCGAGTAGGTAATCTAATTATAACGCCTCAAAATTTGGCTTGAAAGTATTGATTAAGTCGAACGTTGAACCAATTTAATTTTATCCTGGACTTAAATTAGAAGAATGCGAAGATGGAGTTCAATCGAATGAAACCTAAAAGTTTAAGACTTAATTTGAAGAATTTCGAAAACGTGCACCATAATGAATACCGGTGAATCAATCTATGGAGTTCATTTTGAGAACCTGAGATTCGGCAGGGATGTGTTCTGTATTCTTTTTCTTCCATTTTCGGGGTAAGCTTAAAATTAATAAAACAAAATAATAATAAAAATTAGGATAAACTATATAAATAGTCACCGAATTTTTAGGACGTTTGCATTTTGGTCACCCAACTTTTAAAAATTACAATACAATCACTAAACTTTTAGTTTGTTTTCAATTAGATCCCTGACTTTACCTCATGTTAGTTTTATGTGGCACGTTACCTCCCGTTAATCCATGTTGTTGTTGACGAGAAAGCTAAACATGGAGTGCCATGAGCTCGGAGGGAGCGCCATGATCTCTTGGCTTCTAATTCCCTCGCCACCACCTCCTTTTTCTTGGTAGTATACTCTTTCACAGTCTCAGCAGCAGCTGAAGCAGCGTCGTTAGCTGCCATTAACGATATGGTGGCAAGATCCTTCGATTTTTATCGGCATACTCCGCCGCTCCCTCCATCATCCTCATCGCTACCTTTATCCCTTCCACCACTTTCTCGGTGGTATAATTCACCGCGCTCCAACCATCTACGAAAGCCTTGTCCTTCGCATTCACGACCCCTTTCCCTGCCAATTCAGCCACTTCCTTGCCTTTCTCCACCGTCACATCCTCTGCAGCAACCGCTTTTTCTCTGGTATAACTCGTGACGCTTTTAGTAACATCAACAACATAATCTTTCGCTTTAACCTCCATTTGCATTGCGTAGTCTTTCGCCTGTTCCATTTTCGACGCTATGTAGTTTGTCGTAGTCCTACCTGCACTCGATAGGGTTTCGGCCATGGTGTCTTTTATCTTTTTGGCACCTTCGGCGATCGTATCCTTCGCTTTTCCACCTTTCACTTTCTCCCACTGCGAAGCTCAACGAACAATGTTTGTCACTTGTCCACCCTTCTCCATTGCATATTAAGCGCTTTGACGAGCGGTTTCCCTTGCTTGTTGACCCTTCTCTTTGGTGTAATCCGCCGCCTTGTTGACCACTCCGGTGGCCGATTCTTTATCACCTACCTTACCGATATTCCTTGGTTTTCCAGCAGTTTCCGTGCTACGACTTCTCTCTTTATCACTCTCATTTTTACCAATAGACTCCATTGAAGCACCTCTCTCTTGCCCATGCCCTGCACTTTTCCCATGTTTAGTAGCCTTGGACTCCATTGATGCACCTCTCTCTTGTCCATGCACAACACTTACTTGAACTTTCCCCATGGCATAATTAGGCTCTCACGTCCTCTCTTAAACATGTTTTCCTCTTCCTATTTTTCTGGCATCATCTCCCTCTGTTTTTGCCACTATCGTGGAGGAGATGTTTATGTTGTCGACTTTCCCTCCGAGCTTATGGCGCTCCTCTTTCTTGTCAAGATGAAGAAAAATAAGAAGAAGAAGGGTTAACAGGAGGTAACGTGAAGCTTCAGATAAAACTAACGGAAGGTAACATAAGAGATATTACTGAAAACGAACTAAAAGTTCAGTGATTGTATTGTAAGTTTTAAAAGTTTGGTGACCAAAATACAATGTCCTAAAAGTTTGTGACTATTTATGTATTTTACCTTAAAATTTATATTTCCACCAAATAAAATAAAGCAATCAACTAAATAAAATAGTGTAATACCCTCACACCATAACAAAGCCCAAAAACATCACCACAATTAGACATTTTCAATTATGGATTCTAAAACGAATCAAACAATTTCAGTGATTAATAAATTGCTATTATTTTTTAGGTTTCGGATTCGAACACCATGTATGTAGGAGTATGAGCGTTCAATATCAAATAATTAAGATTTTTTAAACATATATAACAAATTGTATTCACCCCAAACTAATAGAATCATATATTCTGAGAGTGATGGCTTTTGAACATCCAAAAACATTGAAAAGGGGCAACGATTTGGTCATTGCTGTGCTTGGATGGTCAGTTTTGGCCATTTTTACTTTAGCACGCCAAGATTCAAATCCGCTTTTAGTCCCTTAAAACGGGATTTTGAGGACTAGAGAATTTTGTCAAAGGTATACACTGCGGAGGCCACAATCGTTTCTCTGATTTTAATCGAAATCTTTTTTAATTATTGATAATATGTACATGTCACCGTAACTATTTAAACTTACATTCTCGAGAATCAACATTCATTTTAACCACTAAAATCGTATAACGAGTTATATATAATAAAATTTTATTTAAATATTCTAAATGTCGTGTATTTTTTAAGGGGAGTGGTGGGATTATTGCTTAATCATTTTCAATGATTAAATTATTAAAATATTAATCATATAAAATTTATAAAAATATGTAAAGCTCATTTAATTTTATACTGACTATAATTTTTAATTTTCAATAATTGATTATTAGAATTTGGAATGATAATTATATTTTAACTAACATCAATAGGAAACCCCTTCAATATTATTTGTATAAAAATACTTCAAAAATATTTGTAGAAAATATTAGTCTGTCATTAGGGTGTTAGTGGCCTTTAATGATTCTATAATATGTAATATAAAAGGGCATATTTCCCTTTTCACCTATATTCATAATTATAAATTTTAATCCAACAATTCTGTTGACAATAGTTTTATCCCATTTATTATTATTATATTATTATTATTAATAATAAATAATAATTTTATTACAGGCCATTTATAAAAAAAACCAGAGGCCCAATTACAATTACAACAAATTAGGCCCAACAAAACCTGACCTAGTTACAAATCAAATCCGGAACCTGATCCAGGCCTAGAGCCCGATTAGGGTTTTTCACACATAGCTTGCTCTCAACCGTAGGATCTGGACCCTTCCAACGGTCCATATCACTCAAGACTTAGGGTTTCCCCTAATGATGCTATCTCAGCCGCTGCCGCCGCCTGAAGCTCCACTCAGCTACTACCACACATCCACTGCCGCACCGGCCAAATCTAGGAGATCTGGGTGCATTAAATGCACCCAACCGCCCCTATGATGAGTCACCACCATAGCTCCGGTGACTCACTGGGCTTCCCTCTTTTAACCAGTCAAAAGAGTAATTCGAAAGGTCCTATAAAACCCCCTTCACCTACAAGAGAGGGAGGTGGAACAAGAAACCAACAAGACAACCATTCGAACAAAAAACAACAAGAAAAAAAAACAAACAAAGAAACGGAGAGACCAACGAACCAACAACAACGAAAAAACACGAACCAACAAAAGCAAAGAGGAAAGAAAACTTACCATCGTCAGAGAGATCCAAACGTCGCTGGAAAGTCATATGTTCGAAGGTATCTTTTTAGATCAGTCCGATTGACTAGTTTTTAGGAAAAAAAGGTGATTGGATTCGGCCTTAGGGAAGCCCGAGGATCATTTTGGGTATTTCGATCAAATTTCGACCATCATGGACGGTGATGGTCGCCAGCGCCGGTGTACGGTGGCCAGCTTCCCTCCGGCGAGGGAATTAAAAAAGAAGTCAAAGAGAAGAAAAAAAAAAAGAAAATGAGAGATTGAAGGCCTTAGGGCCGGTTTTGGGGTATAAATACCCCTCCCCAAACGACGTCATTTTGAGGGTGATATTTGCAATTTTAGTGTATGGAAAATCATTCCCGCAGTCCCCCTGAATTTTTAACCTTTCAATTTGGTCACTGAAAGTAGTTTCCATGTATTTTAATTTGGTTTTTGAATTTTATTTCATTTCCATTGTAGGCACTAACTGTGTTTATATGTATTTTGGGTAAATATCATATTTAGTCCTTTAATTTTAATAGTTTATATTTTAATCCTAATTAGTAATTAGGGTTAAATTATTATTCCAGTACCTCGATTTCATGATATTTCTGTTTAAGGCTATTACTTTCGAGGCTTTATAATTTAATCCCCTAATTTTAAATATTTTTAATTCTAAATATTATTATTGGTTTATTTACAATTATAGTACCTATAATATTAATTATTTTTATTTTTACCTTGATCTTTTGTAGTTTTATAATTTAATCTTTAAATTTACAATATGTATTATTTTAATATTTTATTTATATAGTTATAAATTTATTATTAAAATAAAAAATTTTATATTATTTTATATGAGTAATTTAAATAAATACGCCTTAACTAACTAGGTGTGTCTTTCTAAGGATTGCTCGAATAAAATAATATTTTTTTATGATTTAAATAAATTTATTTTGTATCTATTTTGTATATATTATTTAGGGTAATACTATTTGTTACGAGGAATATATAAAAATACTTCCTTAATTTACTAGGAATGTATTTTCTTGTATTATTCGTATAAAATAATATTTTTTAATATCATGATTTAAATATTATTCGAATTTTCCAATTTTAA